GTCCCCCCCCAGCCCTGGCTTTGCAGGGGGCCTTCCTCCTCACCCCCCCACACTGCTCCCTGTGCCGGGGCCTGCCAGGAGTGATCCCAAAAATCCCAGGAATGCCGTGGCGGGGTCGGGGGGATTTATCGATTTTATTGGCATTAATTTAACCCCAACTTAGAGCAGCTGAGTTAATTACCCTCATCCCCATCCTACCCCCATCTTCTTCCTCACCCCCATCCCACCCCTTCCCTCATCTTCATTCCCATCCTCATCCTTATCTTCTTCCCCATCCCACCCCATCCCATCCCATCCCATCCCACCCCATCCCACCTCCATCCTCCTCCTCCCGGGGCCCTGGGGTGGGGCCAGGGGACACACAGGGGCTGTGGGGTGATGGGGGGCTGCAGGGCAGTGGGGGGAGCAGAGAGTTGGGGGGCTGCCTCTGATGGGAAGAGGGGCTGCAGGGAAGGGGGGGCTGCAGGGAAGGGGGGGCTGCAGTGAAGGGGGGGTTGCAGTGTCAGGGGGGCTGCAGTGCCAGAGGGGTTGCAGTGAAGGGGGGGTTGCAGTGCCAGGGGGGCCGTGGGTAGGGGCACAAGGGGGACACTGACAGGGCTGGAGGGGTTCCCCCACCAAACCCCCCCAGTCCTTGGGTACCCCCCAGTTCCAGGAATTCCATCCTCTCCATCTTATTAAGGATAATCCCTCTGGCAACCTCTGGCATGTGCACACAGCACGGGCACTCCCGGGTGGGCACGGGCTGGGGGCCATGGAATTGGGGATTTGGCCGGAGCAGGGCGGGAATCAGCCCCTGGGATTGGGGAAAAGGCACATATTGACCAACTACAAACAGCACTGCTATGGAATGTCACGGAAACCCCCTCGGCATCAGGATTTGGGGGGTCTCCTGGTGCCCACCCTGGCACTGGTGGCTCTGGGGAGCAGCGGGATGAGGTGGGATGTGGCAGGAATGCTCCGAGCACAGCACTGGGATTGGGATTGGTGTTGGGAGCAGGGTTGGGGTTGGCCCTGCAATTCGAGTTGGGATCAGTGCTGGAATCGGGGTTGGGATTGGCGCTGGGACCAACGCTGGGATCGGGGTCGGATCAACCGACCGGGAATTTCCAGCTCAAGCACAACAAAAACAATGGAGAAATCCGGGGGGACGTGGCAGATTTCAGGTGTTCCCGGAGGATGAGGCAGCTCCTGCCAGGATCAGTGCCGTGGTCATTGCAAAGCAACTGGGGGGCACCTCGGGGGGTCCCCGTGGCCCTGTCCCGGGTTACCCACGAGCCCCCGATCCCCCCGGAGCGTCCCAGCGCCCTCCTCCTTCCCAACCCGATCCGGGGCCGGTTCGTCACGGCGGCTCCGGGCCCGTGAGTCAGCACAGCCGGAGCCGCCGGATAAAAATATCCCGCTGGGTGTGGGGGTGGGCAGGGATTTGGCTGCCGGAGGGAACACGTGTCGGGGCCACCGTGGGAACCGCGGGGACCCGGCCGGGACCCGGAGCCCAGCTCGGCGTCGGCACCAGGAATTCACCCACGGGCAGCATCCTGCGCTCCCACCGCCTCCACATTCCCAGGCAGCATCCCACATTCCATGGGACCCTCTGCCCTGACATTCCCAGGCAGCATCCCACATTCCATGGGACCCTCTGCCCTGACATTCCCAGGCAGCATCCCACATTCCATGGGACCCTCTGCCCTGACATTCCCAGGCAGCATCCCACGTTCCACGTGGCCTCCCTGCCAAAACATTCCCGCACAGCATCCCAAATTCCGCGTGGCCTCCCCACCACAACATTCCTGGGAAGCATCGTGTCCTCCTTGCCGTAGCATTCCTGGGAAGCATCTCAGCCTCCATGTGGCCTCCCTGCCATGACATTCCAGGCAGGTGCTGTGCGGAGCCTCCGGAATGTGCCGAGGCAGCGGAGCGAAGCCCCTGGGACGCGGGTCAGCAGTTCCTGGCAGTAGGAGATGCTGAGCAGGGAGGGGGAGGACTGCAGTGTCCCCGTGTCCCTGTGTCCCAGTGTTCCTGCATTCCCATGTCCCAGTGTCCCCGTGTCCCTGTGTCCCAGTGTTCCTGCATTCCCATGTCCCAGTGTCCCCGTGTCCCTGTGTCCCAGTGTTCCTGCATTCCCATGTCCCAGTGTCCTTGTGTCCCTGTGTCCCAGTGTTCCTGCATTCCCATGTCCCAGTGTCCTTGTGTCCCTGTGTCCCAGTGTCCCTGCATTCCTGTGCCCCAGTGTCCCTGAATTCCTGTGTCCCTGTGTCCCCATGTCCCTACATTCCCATGTCCCAGTGTCTCTGTGTCCCTGCATTCCCATGTCCCTGTGTCCCTGTATTCCCATATCCCTGCATTCCCATGTCCCTGTGTCCCTGTGTTGTGTCCCTGCATCCCCATGTTGCCGTGTCCCTGTATTTCTATGTCCCTGCATCCCTGTGTCCATTTCCCCCTGTTCCCATATCCCTGTTTCCCCATGTTCCCATATCCCTGTTTCCCCATGTTCCCATATCCCTGTTTCCCCATGTTCCCATATCCCTGTTTCCCCATGTTCCCATATCCCTGTTTCCCCATGTTCCTGAGTCCGTGCATCTCCATGTCCCCACATCCCCGTGATCCCATAGCCCTGTGTTCCTGTGTCCCTGCATTCCCATGTCCCTGTGAACCCATATCCCTGTGAGCCCATGTTCTCATGTCCCTGTGTTCCCATGTTCCATATCCCTGTGAGCCCATGTTCTCATGTCCCTCTGTTCCCATATCCCTGTGTTCCCATGTTCCATATCCCTGTGTTCCCATATCCCTGTGTCCCCATGTTCTCATGTCCCTGTGTTCCCATATCCCTGTGTTCCCATGTTCCCATATCCCTGTGTTCCCATGTTCCCATATCCCTGTGTTCCCATATTCCCATGTCCCTGTGTTCCCATGTTCCCATATCCCTGTGTTCCCATATTCCCATATCCCTGTGTTCCCATGTTCCCATGTCCCTGTGTTCCCATATTCCCATGTCCCTGTGTTCCCATGTTCCCATATCCCTGTGTTCCCATGTTCCCATGTCCCTGTGTTCCCATGTTCCCATGTCCCTGTGTTCCCATGTTCCCATATCCCTGTGTTCCCATATTCCCATGTCCCTGTGTTCCCATATTCCCATGTCCCTGTGTTCCCATGTTCCCATATCCCTGTGTTCCCACATTCCCATATCCCTGTGTTCCCATATTCCCATGTCCCTGTGTTCCCATATTCCCATGTCCCTGTGTTCCCACGTTCCATGTCCCTGTGTTCCCACCTTCCATGTCCCTGTGTCCCCACACCTGCAGTCCCCGGGTGGGCTCCACTCCGGACCCCCACAGGCACCACTGGCCTGGAGCTGCTGCCACAGCTGCATCCATGGCCACATCTGGATCTGTGGTAACCCTGGATCCGTGTCCAGCACATCTGCGCCAGTGCCAGTGCCTGCATCCCTGGCAACATCTGGATCCGTGCACCCACCACCACATCTGCATCTGGGGCCACATCTGGATCAGTGCCCACAGCCACGCCCATGGCCACAGCTGGATCCTCGCACACAGCTGCATTCACAGCCACATCTGTGTCCCTGCCACAGCTGGATCCTCGCACACAGCTGCATCCACAGCCACATCTGTGTCCCTGCCCACAGCTGGATCCTCGCACACAGCTGCATCCACAGCCACATCTGTGTCCCTGCCCACATCTGGATCCGTGCCCAGGACTGCAGCTGTGGCCACCTCTGTGTCTGCAGGCACATCCACATCTGTATGCACAGGTCACAGCTGTACCCACACCCACATCTGCACCAGTGCCAAGTCCCTCTGGGCACACCAATCCCAACTCTGGGCTCCATGGGGGGCTGGGATGGGCCGGGGGGGATCCGGGATCTGCCCTGGAATTATGAATCACGGTGTAATTACCCCAAATGGGCCCAGAGCTCCGGAGCTTCAGTCAGGGAAATCACAGGAGTTCCAGGGAATTTTAACACCCAGAGACATTAATGAGAACAGGCTCAAACAGGGGGATCTGTCCTGCTCACATCCTGCATCCATCCTGTACACATCCTACATCCCTCCTGCACCCATCCTGTACACATCCTGCATCCCTCCTGCACCCATCCTGTACACATCCTGTACACATCCTGCATCCCTCCTGTACACATCCTGCATCCCTCCTGTACACATCCTGCATCCCTCCTGCATCCCTGATGCATCCACCCTGTACACATCCTGCATCCCTCCTGCATCCCTCCTGTACACATCCTGCATCCCTCCTGCATCCCTGATGCATCCACCCTGTACACATCCTGCATCCCTGATGCATCCACCCTGTACACATCCTGCATCCCTGATGCATCCACCCTGTACACATCCTGCATCCCTCCTGCATCCATCCTGTACACATCCTGCATCCCTCCTGCATCGCTCCTGCCCCCACCTTTCATCCATCCTACATCCCTCCTCCATCTGCCCAAGGCATCTGGGATCTCTTGGAATCACCCAGTATCCCTCGGAATCACCTGGGATCTCTCAGGATCACCTGGGACACTCTCAGTATTGCCTGGGATCTCTCAGTGTCCCCTGGGATCTGTTGGTGACACCCAGTATCCCTCGGAATCACCTGGGATCTCCCAGGATTACCTGGGACACTCTCAGTATTGCCTGGGATCTCTCAGTGTCCCCTGGGATCTCTTGGAATCACCCAGTATCCCTCGGAATCACCTGGGATCTCCCAGGATCACCTGGGACACTCTCAGTATTGCCTGGGATCTCTCAGTGTCCCCTGGGGTCTGTTGGTGACACCCTGGATCTCTCAGGATCACCCTGGATCTCTCAGGATCCCCTGGGATCTCTCCACATCCCACAGGACACTCTCAGTATTCCCAGGATCTCTCGGTACCTCTGGGACCTGTCAGTGTTGCCCCTGCCCCCGGATGCCCCCGGATGCCCCCGGATGCCCCCGGATGCCCCCGGATGCCCCCGGTGCCGGTCCCGCCGGTCCCGCCGTACCTCCCGCTGCAGCACGAGCTCCTTGGTGAACAGCGTGGCCTCCTCGCTGAAGGGCTCCCCCTCCTGCGCCAGCCCCGGCAGGTTCCGGGCACCCCGCGGGCACTCGATGCCTGGGGGAGGAAGAGGAGGAGGAGGGTGAGGCCGAGGTCACCCCCCTGCCCCCCTGGGAACGGCCCCCGGGGAATGGGCTGGGCAGGGAACGGGGCATCGGAGTCAGGGGGGATGTGGGAAGCTCCGGGAGGGTCCAGTGGTGGCACAGCCATGGGAGAGGATGGGATAGCTCAGGACCAGCAGGGATGGGGACGTGGGGACATATCCAGACCCCCACATTCGCAGCCTCTCTCCCTGACTCAGCTTCCCACTGCCCTCAGGATACCCCTGGGATACCCCCCTGCCCTGGAAAACAGGGAAGTCCTGCATTATTAATTACAATTTACATAATTTGCATAATTAATGAAGTGCTGGGAATTACAGCTCCATGCCGGAGCCGCGATCCTTCGGGAAGGCAGAGACAAGGTGTCACACCCCCAGGGCCACAGCAGTGTCACCATTCCCCCAGGAGGCACGAGGACATGGATCTGTTCCCAGAGCATCCGGGAGCACCCGGAGCCCACGATGTCCCTGTGTCACTGAGACCATCCCATCCTCATCCCTGGCCCTGTCATCTCCCCATCCCCAGCTCTATTGGATACCCATCCTCATCCCTGTCCCTGCTGTATCCCTGACCCCAGCCCTATCACATCCTCATCCCTGTCCCTGCTATATCCCTGACCCCATCCCTATCACATCCTCATCCCCGGCCCTGCTGTATCCCTGACCCCATCCCTATCACATCCTCATCCCTGTCCCTGCTGTATCCCTGACCCCATCCCTATCACATCCTCATCCCCAGCCCTGCTGTATCCCTGACCCCATCCCTATCACATCCTCATCCCTGTCCCTGCTGTATCCCTGACCCCATCCCTATCACATCCTCATCCCTGTCCCTGCTGTATCCCTGACCCCATCCCTACCACATCCTCATCCCTGTCCCTGCTGTATCCCTGACCCCATCCCTATCACATCCTCATCCCTGTCCCTGTTGTATCCCTGACCCCAGCCCTATCACATCCTCATCCCTGTCCCTGCTGTATCCCTGACCCCAGCCCTATCACATCCTCATCCCTGTCCCTGCTGTATCCCTGACCCCAGCCCTATCACATCCTCATCCCTGTCCTTTGTCATTTCCCCATCCCGGTCCCCATCCCTGTCCCCACCATCACACCATCCCTGCCCCATTCCCATCCCTGTCCCATTCCCATCCCTACTGCACACCCATTCTCATCCCTATCCCTGTTGTACCCCCATCCTGCCCCCATCCCATCTCCATCCCCATTCCCAGGCTATGCTGCCTCCAAGGGAAGCCAAACATTTCCAGGAAATCCAGCAGGAGCTTCCCAGGCAGCTTCCAGCCCTGTCCCTGCCCACTGCTCCCAGCCCCAGCACTGCTCCCAACCCCAGCACTGCTCCCAACCCCAGCACTGCTCCCAACCCCAGCACTGCTCCCAGCCCCGGCACTAATCCCAACCCCAGCACTGCTCCCAACCCCAGCACTGATCCCAGCTCTGGCACTAATCCCAACCCCAGCACTGATTCCGATCCCAGCACTGATCCCATGTTTCTCCAACAAGGAGCATCTCCCAGCACCGTGCTGGGAGTGGGAATGAGGACCCGGAGCCGCCCTTCCTCCTTCTTCTCCTCCTTCTCCGTGGAGGGGACTGGGAGCTGCTGAAGGTTTATGCACCACACTGGAATTTTTTCCCTCAAAATAATAGGGGAAGAGCTGAGGAAGCACCGGAATCCTTAAACCACACGAGCTGAGAGCAGCGTTTTCCGGCTGCCAGCTCCTCCATGCTGGGATCCCACTTCGGATCCTCTCCCGGCCCTGGCGCTTCCCAAACCCACCCAAGGGAAGATTCTGGAAAAGGCAAAGCTCAAAAGGATGGGCTGAACGTGCTCATCCCCCTGGGAATGCTGTAGGGAGAGGGGAAGGGGATGTTTGGCACCCGGAAAAGTTCTCCAGCACTTTAAAAATAGCAACTAATCCCGAACGCGCGGCTCCGCTGCTCTTCCCGGGGAGCCGTGACGGATTAATGAGGGATGCGGCTGGAAGTGCTGCAGCCACCGCGCTCCCCTGGGCTTCCCACAGAATTCCAGCACAGTCCTGCTGAGCTGGAGCTGGGGGATGGAAGGGGCAGCTCTGGGGGGGCTGCTCCGACCCTGGAACCATCCTCGGAGGGATGGAGGGATGGGGGCAGGAATTCCACAGCATCCCAGGGCATCCCAGGGCATCCCGCAGCATCCCACGGACATTGCAGAGCGTCCCTGGGTGTCCCACGGCATCCTGCACATCCTGGGGTGTCCTGCAGCATCCCAGGGTATCCCACAGTATCCCTGGGATCTCCTGCAGCATCCTGGGGCATCCCACAGCATTCCCAGGTATCCCACAGCATTCCCAGGTATCCCACAACAGCCTGCAGGATCCTGCCCTGGGATGCTGGGAGGGGCTGGGCCTCCCTGGCCATCAGTGGGAATACAGAAAATAAATCTCCCTAGGGAAGCTCTCTTGGAGCAGGAACCTTTCCAGCCCAAATTCCTGGGATTTAAGCAGCTTGTCCCAGCTTGCTGTGCCTGGAGAAGCGCAGGGATACGGGATGGCTGCGGGCGAGGACTGGCTGTGCCGGGGTGGAATGCCAGGGATCGATCTGCCAGAGGATTTATGGATTTTGGGAGCAATGGGGGTGAGCAGCAGGGAGGGCACACCCGGGAACTGCGGGAGTGGGGCCGTGGACACAGCGCTGGACCAGCCCCATGGAGGGAACACCCACATGGAAAAACTCTGGATTCCCATCCCCACCTCGCAGTTCCACAGCTCCAGTGCCCCCTTGGGGAATTTCGGGACACCCCGGAGCCAGGTGGCCCCGCACCCCAACATTCCCCCTCATCCCTCGGGAATTCTGCCGCTCCCAGCCCCCGCCCCGGGAAGGCGTCAGGCTCCAGAGTTTTGCCAGGAGAGAGGAATTTGGGATTAAAGCAGCTCCTCTATTTGCACATATTTATAGTGCTCCGACGGATCTATTTTAGCTGGAAAGCCGGGATGAGCTCCCTCGGGAGCATCCCTGGAGTCACATTTTAAGGGACTTGGCTTCTCTTTATGGTGCTCATTTGCATTTGATATCCATAAAAAAGGCAGGCGTTGATAAAAGGCGGATATTTATCCTATTCCTGGCTTGGCAGAGGAGGGTTGGGAATGGCACCGGGGGGAGAACCAATCAAAACCAGGGAAAACAAAAGCCGGAAGGTCCTGCTGGGATCGTGGCCGCTGGATGCTGTCACTGCCGGTGGGGTTTTATGGGATGGAACTATTTGGGGGATTAATCCCCACTGGAACAGAGCAGGGGGGAGCAGGGATATCCATGGAGCAGGATCATGGAGATCCAAAGAGGAGGACCATGGAACAGGGACCCCTGTGGAGCAGGGAATCTCATGGAATAACGACCCCCCAGGGAGCAGGGCTGTGGCACCGGAGAGGTGCCAGCCCCCCATCCCATTCCCTATGGATCCCGTGGGCACTGGGACTCCAGAGAGGTGCCAGCCCCCCATCCCAACCCCTACAGATCCCGGGGGCACCGTGGTGGGCACTGGGATTCCAGAGTAGAGCCAACCTCTGGAATCCAGAAAGATTTCAGTCGATCCCAGTTCCTCCTCCCAAGCACGTGGGAGGTTCATCACTCCTGACAATTCCCATGTCTCCGTGCCCGGGAAGGGGGAGCTGCGTTTTCCCAGCATTTCCCACTGGCTTTGACAATGGATAAAATCAGACTCCAGGATATTTATAGGCAAGAGCACACGGAGAAGGACAGGTTTAGGACACGCTCCACATGGCAGGAGTCAGCTTGGGATAGGGCTGGGAATGCTCACGCTCCAGCCGGATCCGGGGATGGAATGTCCTCATTGCTCCCAGTGTTTGGGCCCTGGAGGGGGACGTTGGGACTGGGGGTCCCTGGCTGGGCTGGCCACGTCTGGGGTGGTCTGGGATCTGCTGACATCCGGAGCACAGGCTGCATGCAGTGGGAAAAGGCTCCGGGATGGGAGGGGCTGGGGGGAGAGGGGGATCCCGTGGCACCATCCCGGGTCACCCCAAATTACTTTCTGACTGGGAGCATCATTCCTGGCCATCCCAGGTCACTGGTTGGACTGGGAGCAGGCACGGAGCCTCCCCCTTCCCAAACCCCATCCCAGTTATCCGAGGGGAACAGGGACAGGACACGGTCCCCAGGTCTGGGGACGAAGGGATGGGCAAAGACTCCCCAGTTCCATCCCTGCTCCCCCGGGATCAGCATTCCCTCAGAGGGAGCCGCCGCTCTGCCCTTCCCAGTGTTTGATCCCCGGATCCGATCCCTTTAAGCACCGACTGAATTTTTCATAACCGAGTTGTGAACGATCCCTGCTCAGGGTCATCCGGCAAACCCGGTTATTGCCATGGAAACGGGAGCCAGGGATGAGCCGCCCCCCACCCCCCAGCCAGGGATCTGGAGGATCAAGGAGCTCACAGAGCTCACACCAGCAACGGGAACCCCCATCCCGGTCACCCTCCGCCTGCTGAGGAGGCAGCACGTGGAAATGCCTGGGATTTGGGATGCTTATCCTCATCCCCATTCTCATTCCATCCTCATTCTCAGTCCTCATCCCCATCCTCATCCCTGTCCTCATTCTGATCCTCATCCTCATCCTCACCCTAAACCTCATCCTTGTCCTCGTCCTCATTCTTATCCCGTCTTCATCCCATCCTTGTCCTCATCCCCATCCTTATCCCAATCCCTATCACCATCCTCATCCTCCTCATGTTCTTCCTCATCCGCATCCCCATTCCCATCCCGGGGTTTCCCACCTTCTCCCAGATTTGGGGTTTCCCACCTGCTCCCTGGTTTGGGGGTCCCCACCTGCTCCTGAGTTTTTTGGGAGAACATCCTTCCCAACTCCAACTCGACTCCCCCTGTCCCAGTGCAGCCCGTGGGCAGCTCCGGTGCTATAACTGGGGGTGTCCCGGTGCTCCCGGTGCTCCCGGTGTTCCCGGGGGCCCACCTGCGAGCAGGAATGTGATGAGACAGGTCTCCTTGGGCAGGAAGAGCTTGAGGCGGGAGCCGCTGAACACGTACTCCACCACGGCCTCGGAGCGGCCGGCGCGCTGCAGGAACGGCAGGAACTGCTTCGCCTTCTGCGTGTCCTGCAGGGAGGGAAAGGGGCTCAGCCCGGGAACGTGGGCACTCCCCTGGAGCGGGGGCACTCCCCTGGAGCGGGGGCACTCCCCCGGAGTGGGGGCACTCCCCTGGAGTGGGAGCACTCCCCTGGAGCGGGGGCACTCCCCCGGAGCGGGGGGACTCCCTCGGAGCGGGGGCACTCCCTCGGAGCGGGGGGACCCTCCGGCATCGCAGTGTCCGACGGGGTGGGAGCAGCGGGGGCTCCTCAGTGCCCTGTGCCAGCCGGGATGCAGGGCGTGGGCACGGATCCGAGTTTTCCCAGTTGGGATGGGCTCTGCACCCCAGGACACGGCCCAGAACACCCCACGGGAGTGGCTGCCTGGCACGGGCAGGATGGATCCCGTACCATCCCTAACGGAGCATCCCGGGACTCCCCTTTCCCAGGATCCCCCCACAACATCCCAGCAGCAAATGGCTCTGTATAATTCCTTATTAATATTCATTAAGGAAAACTTAACGAGCTCTCAGGGCTGCTGGGGGGTGTCAGGGTCCCCATATTCCCTCAGCAGAGCTGGGGGATCCCTGATCCCCAGCAGCATTCCAGTCTTGGCTCTGATCACCCGGTTCCCAGGCCAGGAAGCTCCATGGGGCAACTCCCAGTTTATTTATCCAAGGAAGAAAGGGAGAAAAAACCCAGCAGTTCCCAAAATCAAAGGCTCGGGGTGGGGTTTTCTCCCATTTTACCCCGGCTCCCCTGGCAGAGCGGTGCCAGCAGAATTCCTGCACCTCCTTACCCCGGAGATGTCGGCCACCCGGTGAATCGGCACCTCCTTCTTGCTGTGCAGCCCCTTCCCGTTCTTGATAGCCCTGGAAAACAGGGAGCACCGGGAGTCAGCACCTGCTGCGGCGGGAAGGGCCGGAGTCATCCCTGTGCCCACCGGGAGAGCCCGGGCACTGCAGCTGGATAGTCCCAGTCACGGGAATAGGGTCTTCCCGGGATAACACGGAGGCAATGAGGAGGCTGAAGGAGGGAATACCTGGAGGGCACTGAAGGGATTGGAAAACCCAGTGGGATGGTGGAGCCGGTGCTGGGCCTGGACCCGATGCCAGACCTGGACTTGTTGCCAGTCCTGGACCTGATGCCAGACCTGGATCTCCTGCCACAGGGTTTGGCATGGGAGGCTGGGAAAGGCCGGATTGTGCCGGGAGGCTGGAGGAGCCCACGGCACAGGCACAGGCAGGGCAGTCTGGGATGTGACTCCGGGCTCACCCCAACTGCTCCGAGCCCCCCTCCACTGGGAGATCTGGGCCTTGCAGCTCTCATCCCAAATCTCCCGTTCTCTCCATCCCTGGCATCACCCTGGAGCCGCCGGCTCTTCTGCCCAGTGCCAGCACAACCACGGAGTCGGGATGTGCCAGGGATTCCGGCATGGACAAGCCACCTCCGCCACTCACCGGGAGTGAGCGGGAACATCCAGCACCTCCACGGTGGGCACACCCAGGATCTGCCCCCCAGCACCTGGAGTGCTGCTCCGGGCTCCATGTGCCACATCCCAGCCCGGGCATCCCAGTGCCTGACTGGAATCTCGCCCACCCCGCAGCGCTCCGAGCTGCTGATTTCCTGCCAGGCCTCCCAAAAGGCACATCCCAGGATGAGCCTCCGAGCAATCTGCCGGCCGCCCACCCCGCGGACACGGAGCCGGGGGAGCGGGAGAGCCCGTTTATCCGGATTGATCCACCCTTTCCCTCAGCAGCGAGAGTCTCGCCCGGGAACGCGCCTCAGCCCCCTCCAAGCTGCTCTTCCCGGCTCTCGGCATCGTGCCGGGATCTGCTGCCAAAGAGGAGCTGAGATCCCACATCCCGCTGGGCCCGGCTGTGCCGGTGCCACCTCCGGAGCCGCCGGATCCAGCCGAGCCGGAGAGGGAAGGGTATCCATTGGCATTCCTGTGTGCCATCCAGGAGGACGGGCTGAGGGACAGGGACACGGGGACACGCGCGGATGTGGGGGGCTCCCAGCACCGGGATCGTCCCTGTGGAGCGGCGAGGGTCGGGAACAGCGATCCCTGCGGAGATGGGGGGGCACCGGGACACGGGGCGGGGCTGAGCAGTGGGATCACTCCACAGGGAGCCGGGAACACCTGGAACACCTGGAACACCTGGAACACCTGGAACACCTGGAACACCTGGGCCAGGAAGGGCTGGGGACAGACAGGTGGACAGGGACACGGTCGGGAGGGGACGGGGGGACAGGTCAGGGGGACAGGGAGGAGCTGTGCCCCCGGGAGCAGCTGTGCCAGGGGACAGGGAGGAGCTGTGCCCCCGGGAGCAGCTGTGCCAGGGGACAGGGAGGAGCTGTGCCCCCGGGAGCAGCTGTGCCAGGGGACAGGGAGGAGCTGTGCCCCCAGGAGCAGCTGTGCCAGGGGACAGGGAGGAGCTGTGCCCCCAGGAGCAGCTGTGCCAGGGGACAGGGAGCAGCTGTGCCCCCGGGAGCAGTTGTGCCCCACTCACCGCGCCTCGGCCGCCAGCAGCTCGTCGTAGTGGGCCGAGCGCTGGTCGTCGTCCTGCCGGTACCGCAGCACCGTGGCCAGGCCTTTGCTCACCAGCGCCTCGGCGATGTTGCTGTGGGGGCACAGGGTGGGGGCTCAGCACTGCTCTGGGGGGCACTGCCAACCCCAGACCCCACCCCGGCTCTGGAGACTCCCCCCATCCCACCCCATCCCACCCCACCCCATCCCATCCCACCCCATCCCAAGCCAAACCATCCCACCCCATCCCACCCCATCCCACCCCATCCCATCCCACCCCATCCCAACCCAAACCATCCCACCCCATCCCACCCCATCCCACCCCATCCCACCCCATCCCAACCCAAACCATCCCACCCATCCCCCCCAGTCCCCAAACCCATCCCATCCCATCCCACCCCCATCCAACCAAAAAACCAATCCCCCCCATCCCACCCCATCCATCCCATCCCACCCATCCCACCAAACTGCCCACATAAAGGAGGGGGGATCGGAGCAGGGAAAGGGAAGCAGCAATCCAAGGCAGTTGGCGAAGCGCTAACCCCATCCCACCCCATCCCACCCCATCCCAACCCAAACCATCCCACAGCGCCGCCAAGGGAAGGGACCTGCAGAGACGTGTCCCAGGAACTGGGCACGACAGGAGGGTCCCAGGGGGTCCCCGACACGGTGGGGGGTCTCCCAGGAGCACCCCAAAAACCCTGATGCCACCCTAAACCTGCCCACCCAAAATGCCTGATGCCACCCCAAAAACTTCACCTCGCCCCAGAACCCTGACACCACCCCAACCCCCCCACCCCAAAACCCCCACCCCAAAGCCCAGCAGGCTCAGCGTCCCCAGGCCATGGTCCTCCCTGATTCCCTAATCCCATGGTTTTTTTAAGGGAGAGGGGGGTGAGTGCCAGCTGGGGGGGAGGGGGCACCACCATCACCAACTCCCCCCCCAACACACTCCAAAACCCCCAAACCCCCCCAACCCCCCCCCATCACCCCAAACCCAGTGGGGTGACACCCCCGGGCCACGGGAACTCCTCCTCGATTTCCCAATCCAGTCAGTTTTTTCCCTGGAGCGGGGGCGGGGGGGGGCACCAATTTGGGGGGCTGAGGAGGGGCCACGTGTGAGGCTGGGGGGGCTCCATCCCACTCCACTGCTTTCAGCAGATCCATAAATCCTCCTTTGCCGGGCGCATCCCTAATTCCCCAATTCCCCGCCCGCTAATTCCCTCCGTATCCCAAAAACCGCGGATAATGTTTGTGCACTTCCATTCCCGAACCCCGGGCAGAGGGGGAAGGGCAAATCCATCACCGGGAGCCAAAAATAGGTCTCGGAGCAGGGGGAGGAATCAAAAAATTCGGGATTGGTGAGGCAGGGAACGGCTGCGGCGGGAGCAGCTGCGGCAGCGCCGGGAATGCCGAGCACTGGGAACGGGCACCTCCGGCTGCTCTGGGAATGAGCAGGAGGCTGGGGGGGAAGGGCTGGTGGCCCTGGTGGCCCAGGGGCCCCTGACACTCCCCATTCCAGCTGCATTCCCACCCCCATTCCAGCTGTATTCCCACTCCCCATTCCAGCTGCATTCCCACTCTCCATTCCAGCTGCATTCCCACTCCCCATTCCAGCTGTATCCCACTCCCCATTCCAGCTGCATTCCCACTCCCCATTCCAGCTGCATTCCCACTCTCCATTCCAGCTGCATTCCCACTCCCCATTCCAGCTGCATTCCCACCCCATTCCAGCTGCATTCCCACCCCCATTCCAGCTGCATTCCCACTCCCCATTCCAGCTGCATTCCCACTCCCCATTCCAGCTGCATTCCCACCCCCATTCCAGCTGCATTCCCACCCCCATTCCAGCTGTATCCCACTCCCATTCCAGCTGTATTCCCACCCCCATTCCAGCTGCATTCCCACCCCATTCCAGCTGTATCCCATTCCCCATCCCAATCACATCCCACTCCCTATTCCAGCTGCATCCTGGAGATAGGGAAGTGTCCCCCTGTCCCCCTCCCTGGCCACTGGAGAGCCTGGATGCTCTGGAGATGTCCCAGCATTCCCAGCATTCCCACACACAAAATTCTGCTGCTTCCAAGTACCAAAACACCCTCCCCAAGCTGGAAATCCTGGGAAAACCCTGAATTCTTCCCAGGCTTAGAGCTTTCAAGGCTCAGAATTCCCACAGAGACTTATCCTGGTACCCTGGGAGGTGTTCTGGGAGCACTGGGATGGAACCAGACCCCTTCCCACTGCTGGAAGGAGGGCGAGGAAGAGGGAAACAGGGATAACAGCTTAAAGAAGGAATTCCAGCCTGGGAATTCCACATCCCCCCCTCCAGCCCTGCTCCCTGCCCCTCATCTGGGCCCAGGGAGTGGGATGCATCCCCCCATTCCCACCTCAAAGCAAAGCTCTGGAAGCAGAGCCAGAGCCATTGGGCAGAGGGAAGGTGGATCCCCCATCAATCCCAGATCAAAGACCGGGAATACGGTGGGGGAAATCTCCTTAGGCCAAAAGATTCCAATCAAAGCAAGAAATGGCAATTTTGAAGCTTCTCCCAGAACTCATTTCCCAGTTTTTCCACCCAAAATCTCGCAGGAAGTTCCGGAGGGGTGTTGGAATTCCCACACCGCAGCCTCTGCCAGTGCCCAGCATGGATTGGGATCAGGATCTGCAGTGCCAAACCCACTCCCTTCCCAAAATTCACTGTTTGGGCCAAATCAGCCCCAAACTGCAGCATCCGGCCCTGCTGCCCCAGGGAAGGAATCTGCCCGATCCTGCCTGGAATTATACCAGGAATTAGAGCACAGGGCATCCCCAAAATTTGGGTTTAATGATTTTTAGGAGCTTTTTCTTCCAAGGATTTGTGGGATTTGCATCGCAGCAGCTTCAACGCAGAGCTGTGGGAAGCTGCGGGATTCTGTGGGATGCTGAGGGATGCTATGGAATGCTGTGGGATGCTGAGGGATGCTATGGAATGCTGTGGGATGCTGAGGGATGCTGTGGAATGCTGTGGGATGCTGAGGGATGCTGTGGAATGCTGTGGGATGCTGAGGGATGCTGTGGAATGCTGTGGGATGCTGAGGGATGCTATGGAATGCTGTGGGATGCTGAGGGATGCTGTGGAATGCTGTGGAATTCTGGGGATGCTGTGGAATGCTGTGGAATTCTGGGGATGCTGTGGAATGCTGTGGGATGCTGAGGGATGCTGTGGAATGCTGTGGGATGCTGCGGGATGCTATGGAATGCTGTGGGATGCTGAGGGATGCTGTGGAATGCTGTGGAATTCTGGGGATGCTGTGGAATGCTGTGGAATTCTGGGGATGCTGTGGAATGCTGTGGAATTCTGGGGATGCTATGGAATGCTGTGGAATTCTGGGGATGCTGTGGAATGCTGTGGAATTCTGGGGATGCTGTGGAATGCTGTGGGATGCTGAGGGATGCTGTGGAATGCTGTGGAATTCTGGGGATGCTGTGGAATGCTGTGGAATTCTGGGGATGCTGTCCCAGCAGCTGCTCCCTCCTCCCCTGGCCCCGTTGGCCGTGGAACCATTTCCCTGTCCCGACATCCCGGCTCTGAGCCCACTCCTGCCCTCAGCAGAGCCCCGGGAATGCAGGGCCGGGAGTTTGGGAAGCACTGACCCAGCACAGCGGGATGGGCAGGGATGGGAGAGCCGGAGCATTCCCGGGGCAGGGATCAGGCCAGAAACATCGAGGAGATGGAAAGGAGAAGCGGGATGGAGGGATACAGGGATCCAGCAGGAATACAGTCAGGGATCCAGGCAGGAATATTAGCAGGGATTCAGCAGGAATACAGACAGGGATGCAGGCAGGGATACAGGCAGGGATCCAGAAGGGATCCAGGCAGGGATACAGACAGGGAAATGGGCAGGGATCCAGACAGAAATCTGGGCAGGGATCCAGGCAGGGATGCGGGCAGGGATATGGACGAGGATCCAGGCAGGGATATGGACGAGGATCCAGGCAGGGATAAGGACGAGGATCCAGGCAGGGATAAGGACGAGGATCCAGGCAGGGATAAGGACGAGGATCCAGGCAGGGATAAGGACGAGGATCCAGGCAGGGATATGGACAAGGATCCAGGCAGGGATATGGACAAGGATCCAGGCAGGGATAAGGACGAGGATCCAGGCAGGGATAGGGCAGGAGAAGGCAGGTTTGTGCTCCAGCCCCCCCAGTTCCCGGAGCCTGGAGCTGGGAGCGGGGGCTGCAGCTCCTGCCCTGGCTCCCACCCCAGTGCCACTGCCGTGCCCGGAATTCCAAGCAGGCTCAGCCCAGCCCAGATGCCGGGCGGACACTCCAGGCGGACAAGCCAGGCTTTATTCCCTGCTCCATCCCAGCCTGGCACGGGCCTGGGGACACAGACCCGGCTCTGTTCCACCCCCGGCATCCCGGGATGCAGCACCAGACACCGGGAATGGCACAGGCGCTGCCGGGAGCATCCCAGGATGCAGCAGCACAGCTGCTGGGAGGCCGGGGCCTGCTCTCCCAGCCTTCGGATCGGGGGGAGGAAAACACATCTCTCCCAGGCTTTGGGTTAGGGAAGGGAATTGCAGCTCTCCCAGCCCTTGGACTAGGGAAGGTGCAGCTTTTCCAGGCCCTGGATTAAGGGAAGGGAATTGCAGCTCTCGCAGCCCCTGGAATAAGGAAGGAAAAGGCAGCGCTGCAGCGCTTTGGGCGCTTTCCAAAATAGCTGCTACCGGGAAAAAAAACCAGGAAAGCAAGCCAAGGGCCTATGACAAATCCTCCCTACGCAGCTCCCGGAGCCACTGCCAGCGGAGACACGGCCGCTCCGGAGGGATGGGCTGGAGCCATGGCTGCTCCATAGGGATGGGCTGGAGCCACAGCTGCTCCATAGGGATGGGCTGGAGCTACAGCTGCTCCATAGGGATGGGCTGGAGCCACGGCGGCTCCATAGGGATGGGCTGGAGCTACAGCTGCTCCATAGGGATGGGCTGGAGCCACGGCTGCTCCGGAGGGATGGGCTGGAGCTACAGTTGCTCCATAGGGATGGGCTGGAGCCATGGTTGCTCCATAGGGATGGGCTGGAGCCATGGCTGCTCCATAGGGATGGGCTGGAGCTACAGTTGCTCCATAGGGATGGGCTGGAGCCATGGCTGCTCCATAGGGATGGGCTGGAGCCATGGCTGCTCCATAGGGATGGGCTGGAGCCATGGCTGCTCCATAAGGATGGGCTGGAGCTACAGCTGCTCCATAGGGATGGGCTGGAGCTACAGTTGCTCCATAGGGATGGGCTGGAGCCATGGTTGCTCCATAGGGATGGGCTGGAGCCACAGCTGCTCCATAGGGATGGGCTGGAGCTACAGTTGCTCCATAGGGATGGGCTGGAGCCATGGTTGCTCCATAGGGATGTGCCGGAGGCACCTGGCACCCCGTGTCCTGAGGGGGTGAAAACCAAAAATTATGGACAAGGGAGGGTTGCTCCAGAACACTCCACATTCCTGAACACCCCGCATTCCTGAACACCCCGCATTCCTGAACACCCCACATTCCCGAACACCCCACATCCCTGAACACCCCACATCCCTGAACACCCCACATTCCTGAACACCCCACATCCCTGAACACCCCGCATTCCTGAACACCCCACATTCCTGAACCTTCTCACAGAGGAGGGAAATCAGGGAGGTGATGTCCCTTGGGAAGCACAGACATCCCGGGATACCCAGCAGAGATGGCTCCTCCAAAGCCACCCCGGAGGCAGTTGGAATGGTCCCTCATCCCAGCAGCCCCAAAACCACTGGAGTCGGGGCAGGGGCAGGTCTGGGGGGTGCCAGGCAGCAGCATCCCACCCTATCCCACAGAACCCTGACGCTGGGGGGCAGGCAGGGGGTGCTTGTCCCCAGCCAGGTGGGGAGCAGGGCAGGGACGAGCCACCCTCCATCCCCACGGTCACCTCTGACCCCACAACGCCCCGAGGAGTGCCAGGCGGGAATACGGGGCGGGAATGCCGGGTGGGAATGCCGGGTGGGAATGCAGGGTGGGAATGGCAGGGACACACTCACATCCCGCCGATGGACACGGTGGCACAGGTGCGCTCCGAGAAGGCGGGCACGGTCTCGGTGGCACTGCTGGCAGGGCGGATGTAATCCACGGACACGTTCACCTGGAAACAGGGACACGTCAGGGAGGCCGGATCACCCCTTCCCCCTGTGCCCAAACCCCCTGGAATCAGCCAGCCAGCCCCTCATCCTCCCCGTGCCCAAATTCCCTGGAATCAGCCAGCCAGCCCCTCATCCTCCCTGTGTTCAATTCCCTGGAATCAGCCAGCCAGCCCCTCATCCCCCCTGTGTTTAATTCCCTGGAATCAGCCAGCCAGTCCCTCATCCTCCCTGTGCCCAAATTCCCTGGAATCAGCCAGCCAGCCCCTCATCCCCCCTGTGCCCAAACCCCCTGGAATTGGCCATCCAGCCCCTCATCCCCCCTGTGCCCAAACCCCCTGGAATCAGCCAGCCAGCCCCTCATCCCCCCTGTGCCCAAACCCCCTGGAATTGGCCAGCCAGCCCCTCCACCTCCCCCTGCCCAGGGAACGGAGCTGTTTGCCGGTGGCTGCTGGGACTGATGGAGCTTCCAGGGACATTAAACCTGCAGGGAGGACAAGCCCTGCCAGGGATCCTGGCACAGGCACTGGCACTGCCCAGTGTCCCTGTGGAGGGCTCGGGACAAGCACTGCCACCACTCCAGGGTCCCCAGCCAGGGACAGGAGGGAACAGCAGGTCCTGGGGACCTCTCTGGGGGGCAGATCCTGCTGTGCTGGGGTTTGGGATGAGCTGGGGGTGCAGGGATCATGGAATCATGGAATGGTTTGGGTGGGAAGAGACCTTACAGCCCATCCAGTGCCACCCCTGCCATGGGCAGGGACACCTTCCATTATTCCAAGTTGCTCCAAGCCCTGTCCAACCTGGCCTTGGACACTTCCAGGGATCCAGGGGCAGCCACAGCTTCTCTGGGCAACCTGGGCCAGGGCCTCCCCACCCTCCCAGCCAGGAATTCCTTCCCACTATCCCATCTCTCCCTGCCCTCTGGCACTGGGAAGCCATTCCCTGTGTTCTGTTCCTCCATCCCTTGTCCAAGTCCCTCTCCAGTTCTCTTGGAGCCCCTTTAGGCACTGGAAGGTCTCCCTAGAGCCTTCCCTTCTCCAGGCATCACCTCCAGCACCTCCTGACCATCACCCCCTCAGCAGCTCCCAGCATCACATCCCACATCCGCTGGCACCATTTCCGTGCCAATCCCACCCAATCCCACAGCTCTGCCTCCCCAGGGAAGCTCCATCCTCCCTGGTCAGCGGGAGGGGGCTGAGGCTGCCTTGGTCTGGGGACATGAGGTGACCCAGGGGTGACCCAGGGGTGACCCAGGGGTGACCCAGCGATCCCTGGGGACATCCTGGTGCTGCCTCCCGCCGCCCCGGGGCTGGATTTGGGCACTATGGATTTTTTTCCAGGCACGGCACCGTGCCCGTTCCGCACGGCCGGCGCTCGCTCCGGCAGCTTGAGCCAAAGGGAGCCAGACAGGCGAGGCAGGAGCGCCCCTAACCCCCTTCAAAGCCTCGGCTCATCCCAAAAATCACTTATTAAAGGAACATAAAGATGCAGAAAAGGTCGGAGCGCTGGCAGGGCGCCGGAGCCGAGGCTTTTCCGCGGCGGAGAGGGGGCTCCGGCAGGAAAGAGCCAATTAAGGGGAGCGGTTAAAGCGATTCCTCGCAGCAAAGCTCGTGTCAGAACCACTGGAGGGGAAAAAGAGACGCCGATTACTCCGAGAGGCAGGTTGGGAATTCAGCTGCTCCGGGCTCTGGCGGTGTCTGGCTCAGGAGCGGCTGGCACGGGAAACACCTGGCTCGGGAGGGGCAGAGGGGGCAGGGGAACCGGGGGGGACGGGGGATCCGACGGCTTGGGAGGGGATCCTGGACTGTCACCAGGAGGGGAGGAGCAAGGAGGGATTGGGATGGGGATGGGGATGGCATGGCATGGGATGGGGATGGGGATGGGGATGGGGATGGGGATGGGGATGGGGATGGCATGGCATGGGATGGGGATGGGATGGGATGGGATGGGGATGGGGATGGGGATGGGGATGGCATAGCATGGGATGGGGATGGGGATGGCATGAGATGGGGATGGCATGGCATGGCATGGGATGGGATGGGGATGGCATGGGATGGGGATGGGATGGGGTCAGCCCTCAGCCCACAGCAGGGATGTGCCGTGTCATGTGTCATGTCCTGTTCATTCCACTGCTGAGGGTTGGTTTGTGCTGGATGTGCCTGGGGGCAGGAGGGCTCCACAGACGCATCTGGACAGGTCGGATCCGTGGGACAAGATCAGTGGGATGAGGTTCAACAAGGCCAAGTGGAGCACTGGGACAGGCGGCCCAGGGAAGCTGTGGCTGCCTCTGGATCCCTGGAAGTGTCCAAGGGCAGGTTGGACAGGGCTCGGAGCAAGCTGTGATAGTGGAAGGCGTCCCTGCCCATGGCAGGGGTGGCACTGGACGACCTTGAGGATCCCTTCCCACCCAAACCATTCCATGATTCCACGAGGTGCCGTGTCCCACCCTTGGGTCACACCAACCCCATGGAACACTCCAGGCTTGGGGAAGCGGCTGGAAAGCTGCAAAAGGAGCTGGGGGTGCAGAGACAACACCCAGGACCACCCAACCACAGAGCCGGGTCCATCCAACACCAGATGTGCCACTGTCACCGTCACTGTCACCGTCACTGTCACCGTCACTGTCACCGTCACTGCCACCGTCACCCCACAGTCCCACAGCTCCGGCACAGGGGGACAGAAAGCAAAGAATTCCCAGTGCTGAGGGCGAAGTGGCCACGGAGGGGCCAGGAGGGCAGGAGGGGGTGGCTGGGACCGGGGTGGGTCCCCCCTGCACCCCTGAACCCCCCCGGGCCCTGCTCCCCAGTGCAGCCGCTGTCGGTGCCGGCCGTGCCTGGGCGGGTTTCCAAGGTCAGCTGCAGTCAGTGTGCATTAAATCACTCCGCCAGCTCCGCTCCCGGGAGCACATCCAGCCCCGGGAAGAGCAGCACGACACGGAGCCCTGGCTTTGTGCAGCCTCCGTGCAGCCACCGCGCTCAATGTCACCCGCCCGGCCCCGGCACCCCGGCCCACACTCGGGGGCCTGCAATCCTGGGGCTCCCCGGGACCAGCCAGCCCAGCATCACAGTCCCTGCAATCCTGGGGCTCCCCGGGACCAGCCAGCCCAGCATCACAGTCCCTGCAATCCTGGGGCTCCCCAGGACCAGCCAGCCCAGCATCACAGTCCCTGCAATCCTGGGGCTCCCCGGGACCAGCCAGCCCCCATGGGGGTCCCTGGAATCCTGAAGCTCCCCCAGACTCGCCAGCCCAGAATGGGGTTCCCTGGAATCCCTGGGGCTCCCCCAGACTCGCCAGCCCCTCGCTGGGGTCCCCGGAATCCCCAGGATGTGGCCCCCACCACGGTGTCCCCGGCATCAGATTCCCAAGGAGGTGGTTCCCAGCCCGTGGTCCCCACATTGTCCCCAGCTGGTCCCAATGAGGTGGGGACACCCCCAGAGCCCCCCAGTGCCCCCCAGCCCGTGGTGTGCTGTCCCAGTTCAGTCCCAGTTTGGGCTGGGGGGACTGGATCCCTGCTCCAGCCTCGGCACCCCACAGCAGAGGTGGATGTGACCCCGTTGGATGGGGGACAGGGGTTGGGGTTGGGGTGCACCCCCCTCCAAGGAAGGACTGGAAGGGGGGGGCTCGTCCCCCTGGGAGGGACCGGCCCGGGGGGCACAGGGGGGGCAGCCCCACCCTTGAGTGCCCTGGGCTGGGGCAGGGGGGGCTCTGGGACGTGCCGGTGACATCCCTCGGTATTCCCACCTGTCCCGGGGGCTTGGAAGGGCCCATCCCCTCCCGCGGGGACACGGGGGGGGCCCGGGGTGGGCCGGGGGGGGGCCGGGTGGGCGCAGATGGGGGGTGGGTGGCAGCCCAGACCTGCCGGGCTATAAATACCCGAACGCCCGCGGATCTCCCGGCCCGGCGCCGTCACCCGCTCCAGGGAGTATTTTTACCTCCCTGGCAGCTCGTGCCGGGTGGCAGGAACGGGGGGGCCGGGGGGTTAGGGGAGGGTGGGTGCCCCCTGTCTGCCTCCGAGGCCGGGAAGAGGCTCCCGGAGACCTGCTTGGGGTGGCAGGCTGGGAACACGGGTGGGGATCAGGAGTCTGGGGGACACACGATGGGAAAACCTCACTGGGAATGTGACACGAATCCCGGTGGGATGAGAGGATGCAGGAGGCACAGCGGGGGCAGCAGGACCCTCGGGGGGCAGATCCGGGGACACGTTTTCCCTCCGGAGCAGCAAATTCCCTCCCGAGGCTCATCCCAGGCTCCCCACACATCCTGTTGCAGGGAGGGAGGTTTCCTGGGAATGGCAAGCAGGAGCCGGTCCCACCGAGCTCTCCCCTACCCCCCTGCAGCTCTGGGGGGTCATCCCTCCTGGAAAAGGTCGGGCTGTGGTGCGGGGATGCTCCACCACAGCCCCCAGGAGCCCCCCGCGCCTCCAGCATCGCCGGGAGCGGAGCCGGCGGATCCCGGAGCTCCGAGATCCCTCCTGCCTTCGGTTCCAGGAGCAGCCGGAGGGGCCGCGGAGCCCCCCGAGCTGAGCCCCGGGGCAAGATCGACCTCGCTGGGGCGGGGTAACCGTGGAAGTGCCGGGCTGGGAAGCGTCGGGAGGAGGGAGAGAGGTGCAGGGAGAGGAAATATCCCTGAATTTCGGATCATTACACCGGGAATGATCCCATTTGCCTCTTCCCCCTCCCCTGCTGTCAGGGAGCCAGCCCAGCCCACTGCAGCTCCCCCCCTGCTCCGCCGCAGCCGCACGCGTCGCTTATTCCAAGCCCAGCACAGGCGGGAAAACATCTCTCCCAGTTGGGCTCCGAGCAGCCAAATCCTCCCCAGCAGCCGAATCCTCCCCAGTTCCACCCGTGGAAGCAGCGGATGACGCAGCCCGTTCCCGTGACGCTCCAGAGCCGGAGCCCTGCAAAGCCACCCCGGCACCGGCACATTCCAAGGCACAGGATCCCGGCTCCCGGCGCGGCGCAGCTTCCCCAGGGATGAATCCCCTCTGTCCCCATCCCCGGCCGCACCAGAAAGTGGGATCTTCCCAAAAACCCCTCTGGAGCGGCCATGCCGTGCCAGGCTCTCCCAGAGCTCCCAAGCTCCAGGAACACGCAGGAAAAATTGTCCATCATTCCAAAAATCAGCCAAAGTCTTCCCTGCTCCTCCGGGAATGTTTTCCCCGGTCCAACGCATCCCTTGGCTTTTCCCAGGTCTGAGCTCTCGCAGGGCTGGCACTGAGAGAGCTGCTACTGGTAACCCCAAAAGGAGCATTCCTGGAAGCATCCCAGGAAGCATCCTGGCACCTCGGAGGGGAACAGACACAGGTGGATGCACGGGAAAACTGCCAGGAAACCCCCGGCTGCTGCTTTCCAGGTCTGCCAGAGCTGGTTCCGGGCTCGTGGCACTGCGGATGAGCGGCATTCCCAGTTGGAAACAGCCTTCCCGAGAGGGAAGGGACAGGGATGGGAAATGGGGATGTGACACAAGGATGGGGCGTGGGATGGAACACAGGGATGGGGATGGGGCATGGGGATGGCACATGGGGATGGGGCACAGGGGTAAGGACACAGGGATCGACACAGGAATGGGGCACAGGGAGGAGACACAGGAATGGGGCACAGAGATGGGATACAGGAATGGGACACAGGGATGGGACACAGGGATGGGACACAGGAATGGAGCACAGGGAGAGGACACAGGGATGGGACACAGGGAGGAGACAGGGAGAGGACACAGGAACGGGGCACAGGGATGGGACACAGGGATGGGACACAGGGATGGGACACAGGGAGGAGACAGGGAGAGGACACAGGAATGGGGCACAGGGATGGGACACAGGGATGGGACACAGGGATGGGACAAAGGGATGGGACACAGGGATGGGACACAGAGATGGGACACAGGGATGGGACAAAGGGATGGGACACAGGGATGGGACACAGAGATGGGACACAGGGATGGGACAAAGGGATGGGACACAGGGATGGGACACAGGGATGGGACACAGAGATGGGACACAGGGATGGGACACAGAGCAGCTCACAGGGACAGGGCAGCATCACTTCCATGCACAGGGGCCATTTATCCCGGAGCTCTCCAGTGCTGGCTCCCTCCACACGAGCCATTAATCCCCCAGTTAATTAGGGAAGAGCCCCGATCCATCTCCTGCACCACAGCAATTACCGGAGCCGCTGCCCGGCGCAGAGCGATCGATGTGGGCAGGATCCGGCCCTTCCCGCCACGCTCCACAGATTTATTCCACAAATCCATAGCAGCCCAGCGCCAGCGGGCGCTGCGGGGGGGCCGCGGCCTCCGGTTCATCCCGCGCCACCGGGCAAATTCCAGAGCACTGGGAAGGACGTGGTGGAGCGAGGAGAGGCTCCGGCACGAGAGCCACAAACCCCAAATCTGCTCTTTGGGTGCCATGAAAATCCCAGCCTGGAAACCTCCCTGTGCTTGGATGAAAGGACGAGAGGGAAAATGTATCACACTCCATCTCCTCCAAAGGACAGGGAATACAGAGGTGGTTCCCCACATCCCAGCTCTTCTCCCAGCACAAACAGAAGGAGAAGGGGACACTGCAGCCACAACAGGGATATAACTCCTCATCCTCCCCTTGGTGCTTCCTCCAGAGGGAATTATTTCGGGAAACAATGGCAGGGGATTATTTCTACTGCAGACCCAGGGGATACCATCAGTTCCCTGGAATGGGGCAGGAACCCAGGGCAGGCAAATCCCCCAGGAATCTCAGGGCTTCCCAGAACAGCCAGGGCAGGCTGGGCTCCCCAGAATCCCAGGACTCCCTGGAATCCCAGAGCTCCCTGGAATCCCAGGACTCCCCAGAGTCTCAGGACTCCCCAGGTGACCCTCCAAAGGCCCCAAGTGCTGGAGCTGTGCCATAGGCAGAGCTCCCAGGGATCCCAGGCCCACCCACTGGATCTCCCTGCCAGCAGCCAGTGCTCTGGCATTGGCAGCTCCCTGCCAGGGAGGGATTGGGGTGGGAAAAGCGGGATTCTGCCCCAGGATTAGTGCTGGCAGGGAGCCGAGAGAAGGCGAGGCTGAAGGACCCCTGGGCTCGGTGCTGCTGTTCTGGGGGGTCACTGGCCCCCCAGCAGCCACTCTGGGGACAGGGACAGTGACAGAGCTGGGGACAGCAAATCCTGTTCCAACACAGCACAGGGACGGTGGACAGAGGAAAACTGGCACCAGTAACGCTGGGACGGCTCAGACTGGAAGCACACCAAGGTGCCAGGACCCTCCAGAACCACCTGAAATTCCATTCCAGACTCCAGTGCTCCCACCACAAATCCCGTCAACAGCCCCACACCCTCTTTCAACTCCGAGAAGCGCCGGATTTCCCACAGAAAAGGTCTCACAAGCTGCTATTTTCCCCCTCCTGCATTTTTTCGGAAAGCCCAGGCGGGGCTCCGAGCTGGAAAGATGCAATTAGGCACCGAAGGAGCCCTGGCCGAGCAGCAGCGAGGCCTCGCCATGGAGGGAATTGATTTTATTTGACCATTTTACGAGCACTGGGAAATTGCATCCGGAGCGTGCGCTCCGGTAGTTAATCCATGCCTCATTCCCTGAACTGAGCTAAACCAGCCCGGAAAAATAGGCCGGGGAAACAAAGGGAGAAGCAACGAGGCATTCCTGGGAAAGGGGGATGGCAACCCTTCAAAGGGTGCTCCAGATCTGGGTGCACCCCGGAATTCCCTGTGAAGAGCCCCGGGGTTGTCCACACGGATTCCCACAAAACCAGCAGCACCAGCACTGGCGGGTCCTGGACCCTTGAGAGGACCCCTGGAGTCACCACCAGCCTCGGCCCCTTTCTTATCCCCTCGTCCCCTCTCTTGTCCCCTCATCCCCTCCCTCATCCCCTCCCTCCGTACCTTCTTCCCGATGAGCTTCTTGCGCAGGAATTCCCGGGCCTCGAACATGTAGGGAATGTCATAGAGGGGCCTCAGCTTCCGGTTCTTGTCCTGAGGGGGGTAGAGAGGGGGGAGATCAGAGGAGCCCCCCTGAAGGCCCCTGTGATCAGCATCACTCCCCCCACCCTGTCCCAGAGGTGCCCACCCGCTCCCACACCCCGGGTTGGGCTCCCCAGTTCCCGAGGGGGATCCTGGGATAACCCAAATGTCCCCAGGAGGATGTGCCAGCAGCCTGGTGGTGCCAGGTCGGGCTGCTCCAAGTGGCAGCTCCATAAGGAGAAGGGATGATGGGGAATTTGGGGTGGGGGTGGCCAGGGGGGATAAACCCCCAGCCCCTGCTCAGGGGTGTCTGATGGAGATCAAATCCCTGCAAAGGTTGAGAAAAAAGGGGAGTTTTCCAACAGAAATGGCAGCAGGAATTCAACTCAACGTAGCTCAACACAACCCCATGTGACCCACAGTGACACAACACGACCCAACATGACCCAACCCAACCCAACTCAACCCACCCTAAATCAACCCAAACCAACTCAACCCAACTTAACCTAACACAACCCACTCCAACACAAACCAACCCAACCCAACCCGATCCAAGGTGACCCAACTCGATCCAAGGTGACCCAACCCAACCCTGGGAGCTCCCCAGCCCATGCCGGGGAAGGATGGCCCTTGGCACGGTGCCCTGGGCATGGCCACCCATAGATGCCCCCAAGCTGGGGAGGAAAACATGGAAAAGAGGGAGAACAGGCAAAAGCAGCCGGAAACGGAGGAGTGGAGTCTGATGGGAGAGGGAGTGAGTGGATAAAGACGCCGGCACTCGGCTCCTCCCTAATGAATGAGGCTTTGATAGAGTTTATTGTCCTTGACGCCGTTCATTCCCAGGCTGCTCCCTGGAGACGTTCCCTCCTCCGCCCGCATCCCCACGGCCCTGCCAGCGCCAGCGATGGAACGGGATGGATCCCACGAGGGGATCCCCAGGGACCTACACCCAGCGCCCACCCCATCCCAGAGGAGGCTCCTGCACTGTGCAAGGGCTGAAAGCCCTCCACAGGCAGGCCCCGATGCTGGCAGGATGTGGGACCGGCAGAGACGGGATTTCCCCTGGAAGCGGGAGCTTTTACACTCGCCGGGGCCACCCGTGGCACAGAAAAGCTTCCTGGCACCCAACGAGCCGGGCTGGACGCGCCGGCACAGAGCTGCGGTGGGCAGCCAGGCTGCAGGGCCAGCTGTGCCGGCAGGGACAGAGCTTCTCCCTGGCCCCGAGTAAGATCAAGCCCCGGCTGGGCACACGAGGATGGCACGGCTGGTGGGTGGCCAGCAGGAAGCTCTGGCGCGGCTCGGGAAGGCCGGCACTGGCACTGGCACTGCCGCTCCCCGGCGAGGCGCTCGGGGACGGAGGCGACTCCGTTATTCAGGCAGTGCCAGCACAATTCCCGGCCCCGTGCCAGGGCTGGAGCCGAGCCACGTGATAAATCCTGCAGTGCCGGGGGGTCCCAGCGGGGTTGCCGGGGGGGCTTCCCGCTCCTCCCGCAGCATCTCCCCCTGGACCGGGGGTATCCCCCCAGGGTGTCCCCCGGGGCTGTGCTGCTGCCACACGGAGCCACCCTGGTTCCAGGGGATCCGGGGCAGCGGGATGAGTGACTCCTCATTGCACAGCCCAGCGCCGCGCCACGGAACCTGCTGCTGTCATTCCATGGAAAAATCACTGTGCGGAGATGGAGGATTAAGCCAAGGGGATGAGACACGGGATGGGCTCAGCCCTGTCACGTTGGGCACGCGGGTGCTCCCCACTTCGGCACCCCCTGACCCCCCCCAGCTCCCAAAGCACATCCCAGGTGTTGCTCCAGCCCCTGGAGCGGCAGGAGCTCAGCTGGGCTGGCAGAGATGAGCAGAGGAGTTGCCCCAGCATCCTCAATCTCCACCGGCCTCCACTCTGCCCCTTCCCAGGGCAGCACAACACCAACCCCCCTCCCCGGACTGCCAGCCCCCCTCCCCGGACTGCCAGTTCCTGCCCTCGGGCTCCCGGAGCATCCCTGGTCCCTGAACTCAGGGTGACTCCTGGGCCCCTCCCTCCACTGGCCACGCTGGGATCTGCCAGGATCTGGGTGCCGAGACACTCCCACCCTCGCCAAGGTCACGGCGAAGCTCCGCGACACCGAGCGCTGCCCTGAGAGGCAAAGCCCTGTGCAAACACTAATTAATCCTCACTAACGAACTCCAAATTTATGGCTTATTTAAGTGTCTGTCTGGCACGGGCTGTTAAATCCCTAATCCCATCCCGCCGGAGCGCGGGAAGGGGGATGGCAAAGCCCTGGGTGGCCTCGGCACCACCCGGCAGTGCCGGGGGCTGCGGTGCCAGAGGTGCAGTCCTGGAGGAGCCATGGGGGGGGGCTGAGCCCTCACCAAAACTGCACTGGAGTATCTCATGGGTGTGCAGCCCAACCCAAAAATGGGACCACCCCAAAATAGGGACCACCAGCACAGGCACCCCAGCACCAGTGCCATTCCTGTGCCACGCTGGGATCCACGGTCCCATCGTGCCAGTCCTGGATGTGCTGCAGGGGCAGGATCTGAGTCCTCACCAAAGCTGCCTCGGAGCCTCTTATGGGTCTGCAGCCAGATGGAACTGCACCGAAAGGAGATCACCCCAAAAACAGGACCACCCCAAAACAGGGACCACCGGCCCACACAACACAACGCCACCCCCGTGCCGTGCCAGGATCCAAGGTCACACCAGCCCCGGGTGTGCCATGGTGGCAGCGCTGAACCCTCACACCCTGCTGCTGCTGCTGCTGCTGCTGCTGCAAAATGCCAAGCCTTGGGGAATTCTCAGCACAAGCCCAGGCCGTGCCAGCAGCGGATAATGGGAACGTTTAAGTGCCCGATCCGTCTCTCCCCGCCCCGCCCCGTCAGCCCCGTTCAATCCCGCTCCGGTGGCCCATAAAACCATATTTCACAGCGCGGGGGGAGCGCTGGCTGATGGCTCTGGGAAGCCGTTCAAGAACTCGGACACACGGTGGAGGTTCTGCAAACAAACGTTGGGAATCAATGGAACAGCGGGATGTTAACGAAATTCCACGACCGGCAAACACCGGCAATTACCGGCACGGAGAAAGATTTCACTGGGTTTAAACCATTTTTCAAGGCAAGAGCTCGACTGAAGCAACAGCCCTCTGAGCCACCCTGGAAGCTGTGGCTGCCCCAAACCTGGAATATTCAAGGAGAGGTTGGACGGGGCTTGGAGCGACCTGGGATAGTGGGAGGTGTCCCTGTCCATGGTAGGGGGTGGGACTGGAGGGTTCTGAAGGTCCCTTCCAGGCCAATCCAACCCATTCTGGGATTCCAAGACTCAATGAAATGCCGGTCGTGGCTCTCCCCAGCTCCTGGAGAGAGTCATCAGCCATTCAAAAATTAATTAAAACCAAGGATCTCATTTAATTAAAGGTGTGCAGTGAGGAAGTTGTTCCATTAGTGAGAAAGTCAATGCGCGGAGCTTCATCTTCAGAGAGCTGCTGCAGGAGGGGGGAACCCGCTCACCTCCCTCCCCGAGCACGGAGACAGGGATTTCAATCCCAAATTTGATGGGAACGTGTGGTTTTCTCACAGGCTGGGGAACCCGGGGCAAGAAATCAGCTTTTTGGTTAAAACGAAGGCCGGAACGTCTCAAAAGGGGGACGGCGAGTGGCGGGTGCCGGCAGCCCCCCCGAAACTCCCTCCTGCTAAAACAACCCCCACGTGGCTCTGAACACCCGACAGGGCGAGAGAATTCCGGCTCTCCCATCAAATTAACATCCTTACCCCGGGCGGGGCCTCATTAAGGTCCATTTCCAGGGAAGCAGCAGCTGTGCCGGATGGATCCCACGGGGGATGGAACACGCAGTGCTCCATCCGGGGGTCCTGCTCCCACCCCAGCCCCTTCCCGCAGGGTGAGGATGGACACAGGCATGTCTGGAGCAGCTGGAAACGCTCCGAGACCGGGGATGGCAAAGGAGCTCCATGTTCAGGGGCTCCCCGAGGACTCAGCAGTCCCTGAGGGACCCCGGGAGGGGGGACCTGCCCCAGTCAGGGGCTGTTTGGGGATTCAGCAGCCCCCAAGGGACCCCAGAGTGGGGGGACCTGCCCCGTTCAGCTCGTGCTGGGGCAGAGCCAGGTGCTGGGGGAAGGATCCCATCCAGAACAAGCAGGACTCCCAGGAATCCTCGGGGTCCCAGGCTCCTGCTCCCAGGAGCGTGAAGGCAGAGGGGGGAAGGGGAGACGGGTCATTTGTGGTGCCATCCCACGGTTCATCCTTGGCTGAACTTGCCATGCTTGGACTGCCAGGCAATGTGCCGGGTGGGAAATCCATCCTGGGGATCCATCCCGGAGGCCGGTGAGGCGGTGACAGGGAACAGGCAGCCGGTGGAACATCCCCCCAGTCCTGGAGCACTCGTGGGTTCACAGAGCAGGGGGGGACAGCCCGACCCCCCAGGGATGAGCCGGAGCTCCCAGCTCCCCGGGCACAGGATTTTGGGGGTTCTTCCAAGAATCCCAGATGCCAACAGTCGTCAGGAGACCCCATAGGAGCCAAGGGGACCCAGAGCCTGGCAGCACCGTGGGATGGTAGGTGGGGAGAGCCCCCCCTCCCTGCCAGCGCAATTAGGGAAGCTCATTATTTGTAAAGCAATTAGCAGAGCTAATCAACTCCCAGCGACACGGCGGAATGAGCAGAGAGGAGAGGGGGAGATGCCAGATGCCACCGCCAGCGCCGGGAGCGGGGCCGGCACCGGGGACGGGGACAGAGCAGCCCCCGAAGGACACCAGGGCGGGGGACCTGCCCCAATCAGGGGCTGTTTGGGGACTCAGCAACCCCTGAGGGACACCAGGGTGGGGGACCTGCCCCAATCAGGGGCTGTCTGGGAACAGAGCAGCCCCCGAGGGACAGCAGGGTGGGGGACCTGCCCCAATCAGGGACTGCACAGCTCATGCTGGGGCAGAGCCAAGTGCTGGGGGAAGGATCCGATCCAGAGCAAGAGGGGCTCCCAGGAATCCTTGGAGTCTCAGGCTCCTGCTCC